GTGTCTGCCACGGGGCTCGTCAAGACCACTACTAACATGGATCATCCGAAAAGCGCCAGACACAGTGGCAGTGGTGACTACCAACGATTTTGTTACATTTCATTTTGTCAGAATACTTACACTGGTTCCCCCAAGGAAAAGGCTACCTTTAAGCTATCATTCGATGTCGGCACCACAATGAATAATTATTCGCATAGATGTAGCCTAGGCACTCCATTAAGCTTAGTTTTTCGCCAGCACGATTTATCGCTTGTTTCAAAATCTGCCGCCTAGCTACATCATCTCAAATCCACTCCTGCAGTTTCAAGACATCCGTATCTACAGTGCTTAAGTGGGATTATCAACCTCAAAACTATACGTTTTATACGCTTTTTATGCCATTACGAGTTGCACGACTCACACAAATAGGCCTCGGTGACGTATCAAACGCTAAGCTAGTATAAAACTTGCTGTTTGGAATCGCTGCTAACGTCTTTTTCGAGCGATGCATAACAACTATCCGCTCTCCATGCACTCCCTCCAACCTCGATGTAAGAACAACTTTATGAAGTAATTTATATTAGGTGACTGACGATAATGGCATCGCATAAATCACCACTAAGCACCCAACTCAAATTAGTCACGGAAATGGTCGACGATGTAAATTTCAAAAAAGTAAAAAATTGTGGACTGAGAACAGCTTAAAATGTTCTCTACCAACGCTGCACATACGTGGTGTCCTAGTTTTATTTGAGGCTACACGTCACAAATATGTGACACGCATTCCTTAGCTGACTATCCAATGTTTTCCTTGCCAAAACAAAATATTGCGCAGAAATGCCAGAAAGTTGACGCCTACACAACGAACGGCCCCGCGTTGACACCTTCTATGTAAATGCAAAAGAAGTGAGAGAAGCATTTGTTCCAAACAGGAGTTAAAGTACTAAGAGCTGATGCTAATGCTGCAGTTGTCAAACATTCATCTAGTTTACTATATCGCCGAACGAAGAACGTGTCAGTCAGAGGAAACTTCACAAAATCAACGGGATGCTCTCAAAAGGCAGCCACGCATGCCTTCCTAGCAGTAAAAAGAGCAACAAGTCGCCTGATTTTCACACCAGGAGGCCATAAACCTGGCGCAGGTAAACAACACAGTGAACCTTACTCGCGTCGAGATGTGAAAGAGGCGCGGAGTGAAATATACGAGGACGGATTTGATAAAGATGGTGATTATCTTGAGACTGAAGTCCACCACTATTACCGCCCACAGGAGGGAGACCCAGTCACTGCTTGGAATGGCATTCGGCACGCAGAACAAACTAGAGGCATGAAAACGCATCAACAGCAAATGTGACTGGATAGAATGATTGCTGAGTGCCTTTGCTTCATGTGTGTGTGTGTGTGTATGTATGTATGTGTGGATAAATTGCCAGTGCTGATAACTTTATCGCCGAATTTTATGTCTACCGGAAGCAAAGAAGCACGAAGAAGGTGAGTTAAAGTTGGTAAGAAATTGAGAAGAGTGTTTTACACAGCTAGCCAAGTCAAACTTAGTGTTTTTCCCCAAAGAGGGATCAAGTATGCAGTGTTTTTCAAACCTCAGTTCCGAGAAATGGCTCTCATAGCAAAGTATGATCCTTTTATCAACCTCTTGCTACAACATTAACCTCTTTCTGTAGATTTACGATGGCTAAGTGCAAAGGTGTGTGTGACGCGATTTTATACTAGTCAAAGTAACTACAAATACAACTGTCCTCAGACGGAGAACAAACGACCTTTGCTGTGTTGGCTTAACCTCAAACGACCCCAACCGACATAATTCGACCGTAAACCATGTAAAACTGATAGCATCGAAATTAAACCCAACGCTGAACCAATTTTCAAAGTTTCGCCAGCAACTTGGTTGAGGTCTCTTACATTCTTCATTTCTAATGGAGTATTATCAAAAGAAGATTCGCATAACTACAGGGAAATGTGTGTTAGCATTGAATGCATCTCAAACCAGACTTGGATCCCCCACACCGACCGATGGTGGGCACCCAAAACCGCCTGTGATTAAAGTATCACCACTATCCTTCAAAAATATGGTGACAAGTTCCAAGAAAAAAGAGAAACAGGCATGAACAAATAGAGCAGAGTTTCTGAAGGAATATAAAAACTCAAAATATTACATGATGGTTTAAGGAAAAAAGTTATCACAGTTTAAAAACATCCTTTGGGTTTTGCAACGGCTAGAATTTCTGTGTATTATTGCTACCCTCAAACGGCGGATCACCCAAGTGTTCAAAATCTTACACCTAATTCACCTTGTTTAAGACAGTAAACTACCACAAACATACCCGAGGTAGATTTTGTTCCTCTTGACGATCCAAATATTGTGCATAAGTACAAGGGCAGCGCAGACAATTAATGATGTCACAAGAGCATATATGGGAGGTTCAAACTAGGAGAAGACTCATAAATATCCTGCCAACATACGCCCTGAGTTGCATTAGTAAGTCGAGTGTTGAGGTAGTAGGAACTAACAAACAGCGACACCAACACCCAAAGACCTGAGGAGGCGATAGGAATAGGTAGCGTGAAAATAAAACTTACCAGTAGAATGTAGCGCCGCTTCTTTAAGAAGAAAAAGAATAAGAAAAGGAATAACAATCCAAAGGGATTTGATGTTTGTAGAAACTAGTTCATCAGGAGTTATCTTTGGCTCATCTTGTTGACAGTAGCTGTGATTGTTTTGGTGAGGCTGATGATGATCACACTTGGAACGAAGTTCTTGGTGAAGATGGCGGTGCTCATGAATATGAGAGGGTTTCATATCACCCGAAATGGGGTGTATCATGTCCTCTTGGTAGGTGAGCGTCAGAAAAAGGGAAGAATTTCACCAGTTACCTAATAAATCCAATTCTGAGGAAGCTTCCAGCTTACGATCTGCCATACGAATATTTAGCGGTATCAATCTAAAAGGTAAGACATCGAATTTTTCATCTCATATACCAGTAAAGCATTTGTAAAGATTTCAAATTGCGGGCTAACGGCCTCATCTTTAAATAAGTCTATTTGCATAAATATCTAAATAAAAGTAAAGTCCGTTGTCCACATACTGTAAAATCGTATAATTGCATTGAGGCCCAATGTCCGTTTCATATTTCATGCAAAAAAGCTATGTGCACTCTGAAATACTAATTATCAATTGCGTAACAGGCTAAATAGAACATCATTGATTATAAAATCGCATTAGACAAAGATATTGCGCCAAGCCCAAAGCATGTGTGTTGTTGAAAAGTTGTTTGCAAAAGAAAATATGATACAGTGTGAATTAAAAAGGGAGCAAGATTGTTCATTAGATTGCGACACGTTTAAAAACGTAGGGAAAATAATGCACACCGAATAAAACAGCGCTCTGTGACCTACAAATATTAGCGTAGCTTGTTGTCATGTCAACGCTCAATTGACTAAAAATTATGTATGTGTCCTAGTGCCTATTAATACGAAAATTTATCAATTTAAATTTATTGTTATAACATTTACTGAATCTTAAGTAAAAATTTCTACTGGCGCTTTGATATATATTTATTCCATATCATCTAAATGGGTCATAATCGTTTACTATTCCATCTCCCTCGAGTTTTATTATTTGGACTAAAAATTAGCCTTTCGCCAAAGTTTACATGGAAGTAGGTTCAGATAGACGACAAGCGGTACTGTACATGATTGCCAGTGTTGTCAGAACCATCAGACTTGTTTGCAACTAATCTGAAATTCATTGTTAAGCGAGCATCCGTTTCTAGGTTAGGTTTGGTTCATTATTTGCATTTCCTCTCATAAAATTAACGCTTTTTGACTTACCATAAAAGATGTGATTTGCAACTGCACGTAATTCTTTCATGTTTAACTTGTGGTGAAAATTTGGTATTAGTTAATATTTTTAGGCAACGTTCCGGACGAATACCTTGTCCATTAGCTATGCTTCTACAAGCAATAACTGCTGAGCATTGTCATATGGAAATTTTCTGCCATCTCTTATTTTCGAGGATTTGTTTTTATGCATAATAATCGTATATCGCACTCTAAAAACTAGATTTATTAACACTTATGGGCTGGCAGGTGTACGAACATCAGATTTGACTTTGGTTAGTGCACTCACAACTTACGAAGTCGATACCCTTGTTCCCTTTTAATATTCATGTCCATTTCAAATAAGCTAACCTAGTTTCTTGATATATCTGGCCTGGTAGATCTTATGTCACCTTTTAAAAACAGAATTTTTTAATGCTTGCATGTCTGGGAATGTTTTTCTGTCGATTTGCCTAGGAGCTGCATTCTCCTGCCAATTAGCAGCACATTCATCAGCAACATTTTCATCTTGCTTGGCGTTAATTCTGAGAAGCTCAGCTCATGAACACATTCAGAGACAGTCAAGGGTTTGGGTGTTTTTACTCCCTAATTTCTGTGAGAAGGTAGTCATAAATACGCTGACGCTTGGTATTAGAACCGCGAGTGTTGTGAGAACGTATGTAAGCCGTGGGAAGGTGGGATGATGGACAGGTTCATCTGTTATTACTCCTCTTTCTACCAACAGTTGAATGTTGTAGCCAACTATCAGGTTCGACGCAATGAACCTCCATTTTGCATAGCAAAACTGCCACCAGTTTGACTCACGTCTTGCCATTTTTCATAAGTGGAATGGGATTTCTTCGGTTTATTTTAGCTTAGCAATTAGTTTGTATGCATTTGACTTACTTCTTGCGGTAAGGAGTGCCTCGCTCCTAACCTTTTTTTAACCACCAGTCAATAACCAAAGTTGTTGATAACCTCCCGAATAAACCCTTATTTTCCTCAAGTTGTTATATCGTAAGCAATCATTAATACTGTCTTCCCCTTGACTGTAATAAAACCTTTTTTGTCCTTGCTTTCTCATGATTTCAAATGAATTGAGCAATTGAGGCATTCCTTTAGTTTTCCTATTAGTTTTGCGAGTACTCAAGGCTCTGCGGCGGTTCAGCTTTTGATTTTGTGCCAGTAGAAGCACCTCAGCATTCTAGGGGTTTAAAGCCCTGGATTTTGGGCTTTGTCATTACTCTTTTGGTCTACACCGCCCTTTGGTCTCAAATGTTCAGTTCACACAATAATTTCTCCTGCCCGCTCGACTTTTAGTCTGTTCACACAACGGCATCCGGTTTGTTTGCGGTCCAACTCCACTTGAGTAGCTTTGGTTGGGTTTTAGCTTCGTAAGCGAGCTCTAATGGAGGCCCCAACTTTGTACTTGTTAGCTTTCTTTAAATAAACTTATCGTTGGTCTTAACGTGAAGTCACAGCTTGGAAGGGAATGCGATGTCCTAACTAATGCCCAAACGTCTTTGCGGTCCTGTTGATAAAACCAGTCAGCGAGATTTTAATAATTTTCCCCACCAAAACCACAATCTTCCAATTAAACTAACGCTTTCCAATAAGTTTTCACTACAGTTTCTGCTATTGCAAATTAAGCGCTCGTGGATTAGAGGTGCTCAGTTAAGGAAATAGCAGTGACTACTAAAGCCTAATGCTACAGAATATTAAGGCGAACAAAATACCTTTTGGCGGAATTAAAAGCAAAGTCCAACTGTTACACCGTGCTTTATCGCTTTCCCACCTTATTACAACATTACAATGAAGTTTTGCACAGTTATCGGAGTTTGTAATGAGACAATTGGAAAGATTATATCGTTTTAATGGTATTGGCAGCATAGGCATACAGGGAACTCCTTTAGTCTTATATTTCTCCGAATTAACTGGCACTACGGTCCAGCGCTTCTATGGCAGGCTATGTTGTTTGAGGTCAGTTATCACCAATGCTTTTGATGTACTTGGGTCTGCGAATCTGGTCACTGCGTTCGAGTTTTGCGTCTGGAATCAGAAATAAGTGACATTTACCTGAAAGCCAGTTACATAAAAAAAGTGTGCATCGAGAACAGATTAATTTGTATTTTATCTAGAAGGCGTTGAAAGTCATCAGCCCTAGGATGAGAGCGACTGCAATCGTAGTCAACGGTGGCATCACATCGGAACTGAGATGACAACAGCTGAAGAAATACTTCGACTCGAGGTCTCGATAGTGCAAGAATTTTTGCGAATCAAATCATAACCTGTGGGAAAATATCTTCAAGGCAATCAAAACAGACGCGTAGGTAGTAGTTTATCCATCCTCTTGCCTATCTCCTCTCTCCCCTGTCCCACTTCCTCCCCCACCTTTCCCCCTACGTTCCCCTCCGCAAACCCTTTTATCGCCACAATCCCATGTGGAACAGTCAAATAGTGTAGGACTAACGGGTGTCAGATATTTACTCAATTAGGATGGGCTGCAGTGGGTCCGAGTGGGAGCGGTCGATGACCCCTACCTGACCTCGATTTTGGCCAATTAGAATAATAAACAGCAGGTGAATCAATGAAACGCTGGTGCATTAGTGGTGGCTATTATTGCAACAGACTATCTTGAGGTTGAGCGGTTCCTCATTATTTTTTCACATTTTTTTTCTGCTATATGTGACAATTTAGTAAGTTAGTGTAAAGTTGAGTGCACAACACAAAGGTGTAGGCGAGGTGGAAACGGTCAGCTAATGTTTGTGCTGGATGGAAGGAAGCCATCTTACCGAAAATCGGAACAAGCCTCGGACGAATCCATTTTCACACAATCCGAGTAACTTTACACTGCACAAGATTGATTTTTTAGGCTACTAGCAAAGAGTGAGCAGCAGGTTGGTTAGATCCGCTGACGAATTTGTATGATCCTCATGTGGTGCCTTTCTAAATTAAATTTATAAAAGTTGTGGAGACCTTTGCAAATTGACGCACTGATGCAAGCGCAAAAAGTCTTTCGTGAGAAGTAGTTGTGATAGCCACATTCATAGCTATGGAAGACATCGGCATGTCACAAATCCGACTTGTGTGATGGTTAGCTTTCCCCTAATGGAATAATGAGGTGGAAGGGGAAGCAAGTTTATAGATGCTTCTAAAGTATGCAAACAGTTTCATAAAGGCTGCAAGTTTTACGAATACCTTATAGCAGTAGATGCACTACCCCTTATTCTGGGAATGTCATTCACTCATTAATGAACTCGAAATTTTGCCGAGCCGCTTTAGAAAAAAATTGCAAACAAGAGATAATTAAAACGTTGATTAAATACACTCTCGGATGGGTTGCTTTCACCGCACAATTTCCATCACAGACGATCAATAACCTTAATTGATTAAGTAATTACGTCATTTGTGGGGTCGCCGGACGTCAAGTGCGTAATCTGAGGTGTAACTCTGTTTGGTCAGCCTCGTTTGTCAATAGAAGGACAAAAGAGGTGATAAATGACGCCGCAGACTGAATTGTAACAAGCGGCTCATGACCTTCGCGTTGATTTTACATATTCTAAGATTCAATGTGCAAAAAATGCACACGCGAAAGTGCCACCGCTTGAGGAGTCCCATGCAGGGCTCCCCACAGCGTCTTCTCAAGAGCAAGGGACAACTCCACTTTTGGCATCTTCGATATGATGACTTGTAGTTTTTACTGTAGATTTTCATTTCTTACGTATTGGTTTCATAAGAGACATTATTATTAGTTTAGTAGAATACCTACCTAAGTGGACGGATGCAAGGGTGAGGCCATGGTATTAACAAAGAAAAGAGTATGGTTAAACAGCAAGCCTCCTTCAATAATAGCAATTGAGCAGCCAAGGTCAGGCGATTGCCAGTGCAGCACGTTTATGCGAAATTTCCAAGAGGATAATGCAAGTCTAATCCCTTGGAGGTTGTTTCACTGAAGTTTATCACTTTAGTAATTAAAAAGTAGATAAGAAAATACACAACGAAAAGACAAGACTTCTTAAATGACCTCAGCTGTTGAAAGACCTCATTAAAGCTCTTTACAGGAGAAGTATGACTAAATGATACGTTGGAGCTTTGGGTGAAGAATGTGAAGAGGGTGAGATCACTGCCCCTTGTAAACGGACTTCAAACCACTTCAAATTTCTGCTTAAATGAAATTCTCCCAAAGATGTGTTGAGAGACGTTCCCTCCGCAAGTAAATTTTTCATTGCAGTTTTGCTCACCTTAGTACAAACAACTGTTTCATTTTGCTATCTAGAATGAGTAAAATGCTTATACTTTTTCCGAATTTTGAGGAAACAATATTACAGCAGACTTCGAATTGCGTCCAAAACATGGTAGCAGGATGAGTCTCTACGAAAGAAACTTATCAATATACTGATCAAAATAAATGGTGTTCTAAAAGTGGTCAGCTTAAAGCGAATCCTCCAATCAACTAAGCTCTACACATTCACAATCCGTTCCTGCCTACGTTCTGATTGGTGCCTCTGTTAGCGCGCCTTGGCGAGCCAATGAGTACCCTCCTACACCTTTAGTACGCGTCAAGTCTGCGAACAGCGGGGAGCCCAGGTAGCACTCCCGCCACCCTCCTAACCATAACAGTAAAAGAAAATGGCTTCCATAACCTATCTCGATCCTCATTATCGCACCATGTACTATCACTATCAACCCAGTGGGACATTATCCCACATCACCCCAGGAGCCTATTGCCATAACAACACTACCACAGCCGTAACTACCATCACCACCGCCGACGCTCAATTCTACCATCGCTACATCGGTGTCTACAGTCCTTCCCCTCCTCCTCCGCCACTTCCGCCACCACCACCACCACAATCACAGACAGTCTTTCAAAACGTCTGCCAGTGGACGGAGGAGGAAGGTTGCGTTCGGAAGATTTGCGGTCTGCGATTTCACACCATTGGCGAGATGGTGAACCACTTGACTATGGATCACGTGGGGGGACCGGAAAAAATGGACCACACCTGCTATTGGCACAACTGTTCACGTCAGGGTCGGGCTTTCAAAGCCAAGTACAAATTGGTTAATCATATTCGTGTGCATACGGGTGAAAAACCCTTCGGCTGTCCCTTCCCAGGATGTTACAAGGTGTTCGCCAGAGCAGAAAACTTGAAGATTCATAAGAGAACTCACACTGGTAAGTGAATGAAATGGCCCTTATATTGGTCGTTTACGGACGCACAGCCAATAGCTGAAAGACGTGAAAAATAGTTTGCAATCTACAGTTAAACCGAAATGCTGATTTTGCGCATGTAATTTAGTGGTTAAATTTGGTCGCTTCAGTGCAACCAGAATTCGAAGTTAGCGTGCCTTTTATAAATAGTTGGTATTGTACATATTTTGACTGGAAGCACCTGTTAAATTTCAACTTCCCTTCTGGTATGATCGAAATTTAAGTCATGAAAATTCGGATTGATGAATGTATGGCATGAGTCCAAATATCGTTTCCCACTTCTGCACTAAGCAGCATTTAAATTGAAAGGTCGCTGAAGTTTTTATCATAAACGATTGAATAAGTTGAGTTGGTCGGCATGAAAGTTGGCGAACTCCTGATAATCCCAACGGAGCTGTTTGTCATTAAAATGTACGAAA